GAAAGCATGCAAGGAGTTCCTGGAGCCGGAGGAGGAGAGCGGCGCTCCCACATGGCTCTGTGGGGTGCTGCCCATCCTGCTCCATGCAGAGCCACCCTCCAACTCCCACAGCTTCAGTGGCATTCTCACTGCGAACCCTGGAGGGCTGGAAGCGCTGCCTGCTAATTAGCAGCTATTCACAGGCAGGATGCCAAGTGACAGAAACGAGAGCCACCGACACCGCTGTGACCACAAACCCTGCGAAACGGGAAGCAGAAATGAAGAACTCCGTATGCATTTCCCTGCATTGTTCCCTCCAGAAAAAAAAAGCCACAAAATACATTAATCAGAACCACTTTCGTTACAGAAAGACAAGAGAGCTCCTTAACATCTGCAGCGCTGAGGAGGCACAAGGAATCCAGGCATCTGTAAGGTGACTCATTTGCATGGGATTGATTTTCAGCAGGTTCTAGATTAGCGAAGAAACGTTTGGCAAGGCTGAACAAGCAAGCAGGGCTGTCAGCAGAGGACAAAGGGAGCTTTCTGTTATCTCCAGCATCACGCACAACTAAATATTTTCCTTTCTAATAATGCACCACTAACAGACAGGGCTGGCAAACCATTAAGCTCTTTCTCCCCAGCAGCGAAACAATCCCAAACCACGCTGTTAGATAACAAAGTCTGACTCCAGCATTGTCTTCTGAGAACAGCCCCGCCATTATCCCCACCTATCTTTATCACAATGCTCCATACAAGATTAATGCAACTTTTACCAGAAAAACGCAACTCTCCTCCTCTCACAGAAGCATAGAATGGCCTGGGTTGCAAAGGACCACAGTGATCACATAATTCCAACCCCTTGCTGTGTGCAGGGTCGCCAACCACCAGACCAGGCTGCCTAGAGCCACATCCAGCCTGGATCCTCTCCTCATTCATCACTGCTCCCTCGCATCAGCTGTAACTCACTGTTCAATGGGCAGGAGCCTCAGAATTCCATGCTCTTCCCAAGGGAATCCAGTTGTGCAGAAAACGCAGCGGCCATCTCGAAACGTCAGCGCTGTGTGGTCACCTGAGGACACAAAGCACACCCTGAGGACACAAAGCACACCCTGAGGACACAAAGCACACCCTGAGGACATCACCCCCATGCTCTGACCCTCCGCTCCTTTTTGGAATTTGGGCTGAGAAATAACATCTCACAGACTGGGCAGCCAAGGGCTGTGCTGCAGAACTTCCTCGTGTTCCTTAAAACCCTCATTTCAATGCACCATGCCAGGACAGGGCAGCAAGAGGAAAGAGCACAGCAGCCCCAGTGTAACATCAGGTGGGAAGGGCTGACCCCCAAGGTGTTGCCCAAGGAGGCTGTGGATGCCCCATCCCTGCAGGCATTCAAGGCCAGGCTGGATGTGGCTCTGGGCAGCCTGGGCTGCTGGTTGGTGACCTGCACACAGCAGGGGGTTGGAGCTGGATGAGCATCGCGCTGCTTTGCAACCCAGGCCATTCTGTGATTCTATGTCACCCCCCCCTCCACTCCATTAAGCTGCACTGTAGACAGGTGAGTACTTCTGCTCATCAACCTGTACCTGTTGCACTGTTCAATACCTTCACTTATGAAAGAAGATTAAGGTGAATTCTCTGAGCACAGTTACAAGAACTTTAAGAACTGACATGCCTAGCAATCCACTGGATAAATCAACAGCAAGTAAGCACAGCTCTCCACAGAGAACACTTGTCACATTTCACTCATCACTCAGACTCTGGCACTTCAAACACTACTTTAATGCTCCTGAGAGGAAAAATGAAAACCACTATGGATCCTTTGCTCTTTTGTGCCATTTGTATGCTTGATTTTCATCTGGAGAGACAGCCAGCACAGCACCACTGTCAGTGGGCACAGAGCTGTCCTGGTGGCAGCCTGGCCTCTGCCTTGCATAGGTAACCCAGGGAGTATCACAGCTGTATGTGAAACCTATGGCAGTTACAGCAGCAAAGAGCTCATGGCACAGCTGAAAGGAAGCTTCACTTTCTACAGGGAGGCTCTGAGAAAAGAGCTGAGGGTTATTTTGGTGTTAAGGCCACAGCTCTGTCCTGGCTGTAGGACCAACACTTGTGTGAGGATGCAGATTGCTCAGCTTCAGCCCAACCTCAGGAATCACAGAACAGCCTGGGTTGCAAAGCAGCACGATGCTCATCCAGCTCCAACCCCTGCTGTGTGCAGGTCACCAACCAGCAGCCCAGGCTGCCCAGAGCCACATCCAGCCTGGCCTGGAATGCCTGCAGGGATGGGGCATCCACAGCCTCCTTGGGCAGCCTGTGCCAGTGCCTCACCACCCTCTGGCTCAAAAAATTCCTCCTCATATCCAACCCAAACCTCCCCTGTCTCACTTTAAAACCATTCCCCTTGTCCCATCACCACCCACCCTCACACACAGCCGTTCCCCTCCTGTTTATCCGCTCCCTTCAAGCACTGAAGGCCACCATGAGGTCTCCCCCCAGCCTTCTCTTCTCCGAGCTCAACAAGCCCAGTTCCCTCAACCTTTCCTCAAGCAGAGCTGCTCCAGCCCTCTGAGCACCTCAGTGCCTCCTCTGGACCCACTCCAAGAGCTCTGTGCCTTTCTTGTGCTGGGGGCCCCAGGCCTGGACGCAGCGTTGCAGATGCGGTCTTACAAGAGCCGATAGAGGGGGACGATCACCTCCCTGTCCTTGCTGGCCGCCCCTTTTTCATTGCAGCCCAGAACACAGCCTTCCGGGCTGCCATCGCACACTACTGCCTCACATCCAGCTTCTGTTCCACCAGGACCCCCTAGCCCTTCTTTCAGGACGTTGCTCCCGCACCTGCCATTAAACACACGGAGCTGGGACACCCGCGCTCCGCAGCGCTCTGCCGCACGGAGCTCCGCCACGCCGCATCGGAGCTCAGCGGGGCCGCGGGGCAGCGGGCGCCTCACGCAGGGCAGCGGCGCGCAGAGCCGAGCAGCGAGCGGCACCGCACGATGCGCTGCAGCCCCGCACGGACCTTTGTTCTCCCCCCGCCCGCCCCCTCCCCTCCGCCGCCATTTATCGCCCCTCGGCCGCACCCCCGGGCCCGCCCCGACCGCGGCGGCCCTCAACCCCTGCGATCCCCGAGAACAGAGGAGAAAAATCGCTCCGAGGAGATAAAAGCGATCGGGGTCGGGGCGGGGCCGCGGGGCCGCACGCGGTAACGGGGCGCTCCGGGAGCGGCGGCGCCTCCGCTCTGCTCCGCACCTCACGGCCTCCGCTGCTCCGCCGCGGGTCCGGCCGGCCGCTTCTCAGCGGGAACACGCAGAACGCCTTTCCTTCCTTCTTTCTTTCTTTCCTTCTTCCTTTCCTTCCTTTCTTCCTTTCCTTCCTCCCTTCCTTACCGGCGCCGTACCCGCGGTTTTCCTTCCCCGTCCCGGCCGTTCCGTCCCTTTACTTTCCCCCCAATCCTCCCCTCGCGCTTTCCGCCGCGCTCCGCCCGCCCCCTCGGCGCCGTTTCCCGGCTCGATCGCGCATGCGCGACCCCCGTGGCCACGCCTCCTTCAGCGCGCCGCGCGGTTCTGCCTCGGTTGGCCCCGCCCCCTTCCGCCTGGACACGCCCCCCATGGGCGGGGCTGCCGGAAGCCACGTGAGAGCGTAGAAGCGGCGCGCCAGGAGCACGTGGAGCGGGGCTGCGGAACGGAGTGCGCGGGGCTGCGGGCAGCTCCGGGGGGAAGGGAAGAGCGGATCGGGAGGGGGACCGGGAAGGGCCCCGCAGCAGCTCCATGGTTTGGAGGCAGATCAGGCACGGGTAGGGCAGCACGATGATGTTTGGGCTTGGCTGTGCTGCTGCCCAGGCATCCCGGGTCCCGCTGGAATCGCCGCTGCCCGGCCAAGGCCAGAGGGACCCCGCCTGGTTCATCAACCGCGCTGCTTAAACACGGCCCTGGCTGACAAACAAAGAGCCGCTCGCAGCAGTGACCCTGAGCACGCAGATGTTGGCTGTCCCTGCACAAGGCCGCGGTGTTCTGCCCTCGGTTGCATCCCTACTCTTGGCTTTCCCACAGCGTCAGCTCTGCAGCAAGGTCTCACTTCAGCCGTGGATGCGCCAAGTTTTGTGGCTCAGCAGAGCTACGAGATCGGCCTCCAGCTTCCACATGCCAAGGGCAGGTGGGGGATCTGGGAAACACCGGGTTCAGACCTTGCTGCAAACCAGGAGCCACCATGGCTGTCAGCAATCACTGCAATTGCTTTTGCTGCGTGGCAGAAGTGAGGCATGCTGAAATAGCAGGCTGCAGCTGCTGCTAGGAAACAGCTCTGAGAGTAAAGCTGGTTCGGAAAGGCTTTGCTCCTTTGGGCACAGCACTGCTGTGACAACAGCCCAGAGCCTGGGGACGCACGGCACGGCTCTGCGACACTCACAGGGCACCCGTCTCAGGGCTGTGCTGCCCTGAGCCAGCTCCGTGCAGCCTCCAGCAGCTCCTAGCTTTGCTGCACACTTCCGTGGCACGCCAGCAAAAGCCACCAGCAGTGAGGTGTGCCGACTGTATCACCATTTCAGAAGAGAGAAAGGAGGGAAACAGAGCCGTAAAGCAGGGATGTCTGGGTTTCTGTCTGAGGGGAAGCTCGTCACACGGGCAATCAGACATCACTGCAGGCCACTGCAGGGGAATTCAGGCCGTGCCTTTGGTTGGTGCTGCAGCACAGTCATACACCAGCCAAGCCTTGCAGCCAAAGGAGCCTCCAGAACAGAGCCCAGGGTTCATCCCACAGCCCAACACATCTATTTCCCCATCACCACCATCACGGGGATGTTCCTAAGAACCTGCTGCAGAACAGTAACGGCCACATACTGCCTGTATCCTTTATCTAATCAAAATGAGCGGCCACGAGCCCCTAATAACACTTCATGACACGAACTGGTAGGTCATCAAGCACCAGTGGTTGTGATCTGGATGCACTGATAGATGCAGGCTGATGTGCAAACGCTGCCTGCACAAGGACAAGCTGGAGAAGTCACTGAAGAGACACACATAGGCACAGGGGTTTTATATTAAAGGGGGAAAGTAACAAACAGCAAGGAACCCCAACGAGGCGGCCTCCAAGTCTTACATCAGCAAGGAGAGCAGCTATATACAGAGCCGCGTATTGTTTAACTCTGCGTCAACTGGGAGTTGAGCAAATCTCTCCCATGCCAGAGCTGGAAGAAAGGTAAGAATTGCAACACGTTCCCAAGCCCTCCCTGCCTCCGCCCTCTCTGTGTCATCTCTTTAAATGCAGGGTGGAGCAGCCAAGCACAACCGGAAAAGGTGAGGCATGCCCAGCCCTCAGGGCACGCCCCCTGCCTGTGCAGACCTGCTGCCAGGCACATCCAGCCCAGTTGGTTCTTGGTGGCCTTGTGTGTTGGGAATGGCTGGGATGACAAAGGGATCAACAAGCTGTCGACAAGCTGATGCCCTTGTCTGCATGCAGTTCGAGATGCTTTGAAGCTTCCCTCCTAGGCCACATTGCTGCACAGCTCCTGGAAGGCGCTGAGGAAGCAAGCAGGCTGGTTTTGCAGCGTGTCCCATCTGTAGGTACCAATCTATAGGTTCCAACCCATCTGCACCGGTTCTCCTCGTGCTGCAGTGCTCTCGCAGCTCTGTGTGGTGTCACTGCATCACAGGACAGCAGCTGACAGCCCTCTAGCAAAAAAGGAGACGTTCTTGTCCTGGATCTTGTATTGGTAGATCTGGATGACGTCCTTCTCTGTTGACTCCAAGGACAGTCTCTTAATTATTTTAATCTGCAAACGGAAAGGACCAGGAATGTCATCCCTTGGGATGCCACAGTCACAGCATCCTCACCCCCTGCCCCTCCATGCTACCATTACAAAACCACTGTTACAAAAACATCACGCAGTGCTGCAGGCAGCTCACCCTCGTGGCTGCCCCTAACGAGAAGCCAGCAGCAGCCAGCAGCACAGCTGCGACCCCAGCCCAGGAGAAACGACCACAGCTATGGCCAGGATCCGTGCACGTGGTGCTTTGGGGAAGCTTCCCAAGAACCAGATGTTATTCCTGTGCCACCACCTCGGTGGAGGACACAGCCTGCACTGTGATGCTGCACAAACCTCACCCATCCTCCAGGAATGGGAAGCGTGCAGGATGTCACCGAAACATCCCCAGACAAATCCTGCAGGAGCCTGGGTGTGCTAGCAGGTCCCAGTGACTGCAGCAAGGCGGTGTTAGTCCTTAGCCATGCTGCAGACCAGGCTAATCCTGGAGCATCCAGCAGGGCAGACAGAGCACGTCCCCACACTGTCAATTCTGCATGACATCACCAAGTGCCACCCCCCAGCGCCCCGTCGTGCCTTACCTCCCCATGAACATCCTTGCAGAAGCCAGTTGCCAGCCCCTCCACCCACAGGATCAGGTTGCTGTGATGACACAGGGAGGTCACCACCAGCTTGTTCTCTTCATCCTCTGAATCCTCGCTGCCGTGAACCAGCACCACAATGTTCCCCTGCAATGACAACAGCTGGCAGTGCTGAGCCTCTCGTTGGCTCCAACTCACTCCAGGTGAGGCCAGGCAGGGAGCAACAGGAGCTTGTGTCCAAGTGCCCTGCCAGTAAAGCCACTCAGACATCTGCCAGCATGCCAGCCGGTGCTCAACCGAAACCCACTGGGAAAATCAACATGAGGCATGTATCACAGAACCACAGAACGACTTTGGTTAGAAGGGACCTTAAAGCCCATCCTTTTCCAGCTCTGCAGTGGGCTGCCATTCCCATCTCAGGCTGCTCAGGGCCCAGCCAAGGCCTCAGGCACCTCCAGGGATGGGACACCCACACTTCCCTGGGCAGCAGTGCCAGGGCCTCACTGCCCCCTGAGTAGTTTACCCCTAACATCTAATCTAAATCTCCCTTCTTTTAGTTTAAAGCCATTTCCCCTTTCTTATCCCTATCTGCCCATGCAAAAAGTCTCTCTCTCTTCTGTTCATAAGCTCCCTTTAAGCACTGGAAGGCCGCAGTGAGGTCCTGCCTTGAGCCTGCTCTTCCCCGTGCTGAATGCCCCCAGCCTGTCCTTATAGGGGAGATGCTCATTCTCTCAGCATCTTCGTGGCCTCCTTTGGACCCTCTCCAACAGCTCTGCATCTTTTGGGTTGGGGTCCCAGCTCTGCACGCAGATGGGGTCCATGAGGGCAGAGCAGAGGGGGCCAAACCTCTCCCATCCATACTTACAGCTGGGACTGCCCTGACCCGAGGGCAGCACCTTGCACCGGGCCTTCTTGAAGACATACACAATGTCTGAAATAGCTTGGTGTGTGTATGTGTACAGATCTGTATACACACAAACACACACATCTGCAGTATCTGCAGACTTATCTAGACTAAAAATACATGCAGCCTTTGTTACAAGGCAGCTATCTAGCTAAACCTGTCTGTCAGGCCGTGCAAACAGCAGCTCTCTGGATGAATTCAGAACAGCTAAATAAAGGCACAGCTGAGCGGCTGCAGCCAGAGCTGTGCTTCCAAACCTTCTCAGCTCCTGAAGAGCTCCCCAGTGCAACACCACCACCATTAACCATATCCCAGGAGCCTCTGCCTCAGCACAGGCAGCTCACTGTGGACTTAAAATAACATCCAATTCTCAAACAAGTAAAATGTACTTTAAAGCTTCAGAACATCTTGGACAGAAATAGAAACGTGTTAGCAAAATTTACCTTTTTTTTTTCTTTTTTCCAGCTGCTTTGATGGTAAGTATTCCCAGCAAGCAGAACATCCCCTGTTAGCATTTACAGCTCAAACACCCCAGCAACACGTGAAGTGCAGGGTAACAAAACTTGACACCATCTACTTTATTTCTCACTCAAGCAAAGAGAGAAGTGGCTGAGGTGGTGGATGCTGCAGTGTAAACAGCAAAGGATGGATGTGATTAATGATTTTTGGCTGTGATGCTTCCAGGACGAGCGCATCGCCAGGGAGATTGTTGTAGAATTGCCACATCGTCACATGCCCTCAGAAAGCAGCTGGTGCAAAACTGCTGGAAGCAGAGAGCCACGTTCCCTCCACCCCAGGAGCTGAGCAGACCTTCAGCTACGTCCCCAGCTCGTCAGCCCCTTGTCACCTTAGAAATGTTTCCTCCTGCATGCACACAAACACGGCTGTGAGCAGACGTCTCTGAAGTGTCACAGCTTGAAAAAAGCAGCGCGTTCCACCCCAAAGCCCTGCTCTGCACAGCACCTCCTGGAAACCAGTTGCAAAGGTACCCCGGGGACTCATGCAACTCCCCAGGAACGGCCATGGAGAGAAGGTTTGAACTTCCCGCAGAGACAAAGCCTTCTGCACTTCTACTGTGCACAGGGGAACACAGAGAAAGCCAGGCTTTGCTTCTGTGTGCGGAGGGAGCAGTACCTTGAGCTGAGAGCACACCACCATTCTGCAGTAGTGGATGAAGTCCAGCACGTCCACTGGCGCAGCACCCAGGCTGAGCAGCACGCTGAGGTCATCCACCAGCAGCACCCGGCCCTTCCAGCAGTCGCTGTCAGCAGGCGTCAGGGACGTCCGGACAAAGTGAAACAGGTCCTTGAGGTTGGAAACGCTCCCACTGGAAGGGAAAGAGGAGATCTCGAGGGGCTGCCATCACCCAGATCAC